AGCCTTACATTTTGGAAGTTCTAAATCTCTTACAAGATCATTTAATTCTGACTGTGTTATTTTGTGCGGTTGGTGGCATAACGTGCTCGGTATAAAATCAGGATCTCTTGACGATGATGGCATATCTTCTTCCTGACGAATCACTCGATCGCCATGATCTGGTTCGTTTTCTGATTCGCAAGTGTAGGATTCTGGGGGTTTTGGAATAGGATTTTCGTCACTGTGAGGCACAGGTCTCATCGCAGATGGTATGTTTGGGTAGTTAATAACAGATTTTTTTTCTTGGACATACCTGTGGCTTGTCCAACACAAGCTACCATGCAAAAGTAACAATCATTAATATGATTTGTAGGCTCTCTCCAAACCATTGGGACACCAAAGCGCATAGACCGTTTTTTGCCATTTAACCAGCTCCTCAGACTTGAAGCACATGTATTACAGCAGATGTGGGGTGCCCACTGTTTGTCTTGATCACCTAGTTTACAACCGAAATAAAGCTGATATGCCTTTGTTATTAGTGGAGTAATAGACCGTCTCTGAGACGCAAAAGTCACATCACCACACACGTAACAAAACTGATCTGGATTGTTTACACACTTTCGAGACATCTTGCATGAACGCTGTCAGCCAACTGAGGAAAAAATGGCTAATATAAAACAATATAATGTACACGTATGTATAAATAAATTCTTGTGAATTACAGTATATTAACACTGTCACAGCAGGAACACATATAATTACCGTATCTCTAAAACTTGAACTAATATTGAAAAAATAAGTTTCATTCCGGTTTTAGCACATTAAAAATAGTAATATTTTGTTGATTTTATTTAGAATATTTTTTGGCTGTTGATCAGTGAATCAATTGGACTCAAGTTTGAGCGGTTTCTAGAGGCGGACGTTTGTGTGATATTATTATTCATACATAATTTCTACGTTTCAATAAAAGATTAACATGAAAAAAATGGACGTATTTCATTTCATTTCACAAATATTCAAGACCAGCCCATTACACATCGGCCATCCTGCATAACTAACTATAATATCAAACCTTAAAATTTAGGTAGAATGTAAGACGTATTATGTTACAAGGCGTAGGAGAGAAGAGAGGAAAGAGGTTTTGAGTGCGTTAGAAGTACGGCGGATTGTTTGTCCAAAAACAGTTTCCCCTGGCAAATTATTACTGGAGAGTGAAAATTAAGCTCACCCTCTTGCATTTTCCGTCAGACCACAAACATCTATCTACAGTAGGAAAGGTTGAGCAGTTGATTGATAACAAAAATATAATAAAGCAGTCCCACGTTTTGTTTTCGTTAGTCGTGGCAGTGGGGCCTTCACAGAATGATATCGGAGCTGATCAAGAGATCTCCACACTATACAGACGCAACATATCACGTTTGAATTACGACAAAAATGGTTGTAGTTAAACGCATACATAGAATAAAAGCTATCACCTATCTTATTTATCTACGAAAAGGATCTCCTTCTCACAACATTACGTCAAATACACAGCTGGAGACTGGACTCCAAAGTGTACAGCTAAGGGGGAGACTTCGGAAAAAATCAAGTAATATCACAAAGGGGAATGACTGTTCAACGAGATATTAAGTGTATCTATGTTTCTGAACGCGAGACTTGACTCACCGTTGCCAGGCAACAATTACCCAGTTTGCCATGACAACCTCCTGGCTCGGCTCGCCAGTCGTCAGTAATACACCATCCCTCTAGTATTTTTATGCCAGTCCGAATATCTTCCTGGACATTTTTATCCTGGCGCTAATATTCCAGCATGAAATCCTCTACCTCCTAGCCAGACTAAGTTAAGTCCAAATAAGCAATTTTGAGATAATTGCGTTTGAAGTATTTTTCTTCTATTTCATTGTATGCGATTAACCATGGGTTATGAAGTCGGGAAAAGTAGCAAATGAGAATTCGAAGTTAGCAAGCTAAACTTCTTAGCACAAAAGAGGCAGTTGGAAGCATTTTTTTTAAAATGAAACTAGGGGTCTTGTGATACTCGATATTGAAGCTCTTTATGAGTACGTTGTAACCTTAGAACACAAAATTACTATTTTCCAAACTGTCGAGCCGGCAGGCTGTCAAATTTGAGCATCTTTGTACATTGAGTCGCTTATATGTCACCAGTCATCGTCGCGGTATGGTACGTTTTGTCAAAATTTTCATCTTGGAAGGGACTATCCAAATAAATAAATTGGAACATATACATATGTAATTTGAATCGGCCACACAATGGAGTCTTGTGAACATGAAAACCATAACTCATTTCAGGCAATCTGGTCTGGCTGTGAAGAACATAATTAGATTATACCTGTATAGTAGTAGTATAGTAGTCCTTTATTTAGAAAAAAAAATCCTAATTTCAACAACTACAACAACTGGTAGCATTACAGCATTTCACAAGTACATACATGTATATCCAAATATACTAAGTGACATATAAATCCGAACACCCAGTTTAAATGGTTTTATTTTAATAAAATTTTGTATAAGTACTTAATGAAGCATAATAACTAAATGATAAAAATTTCAAAATGATTGCACTGCTTTAAAGCCCCTTGACCTTTAATAATGTGTGGATGCACCCTGATGTGCTACGCATTCTCCAACGCGCCTAGGCATGCTTCTGATCAGGTGGTCAATGTCCTCCTGTGGTATCTCATTCCAGGCAACCACCAACTCCTCTCGAAGTGTTTCTAGAGTCTGAGGAGGACGTTGCAAATTGAGCAATCTCCTACCCATCATATCCCACACGTGCTCAATTGGGGATAAGTCGGGAGATCTTGGTGGCCATGGTAACAATGTGACATCATTATGTTGAAAGAAGTCTATTGTGACTCTTGCAACATGTGGTCGGGCATTATCTTGTTGGAAAGTTGGATCTGCCAGGGTGTCAAGATAGGGTAAAAGATGGGGTTCTAGAACTTCGTGGATATAACGCTGCGCGTTCATGTTACCTCTGATGAAGATTAAAGGTGACCTGGAACCATAAGCTATAGCACCCAAAACCATAACTCCAACAGTGTGATGAACATGTCTTTCAACAAAAAACTGTGGATTCCTCCTTTCACTACGTCGCCTTCTAACCCTGGCACGACCATCGTGCATGCCTAAACAAAATCGAGACTCGTCACTAAAGACAATACTGTTCCATTCCTGATCCCAGAGTGACCGTTGTCTGCACCACTCAAGGCGATTACGTCGGTGTTCTCGAGTTAAAGGGAGGACCCAGTGTGGCCGGTATGAAAACAAGCTAAAACTTCTCATTCGTCGGTAAACACTTCGCATGCCAATAGGTCTTCCGTGTTCTGCAAACCATTCATTTGCAATGGACCTGGTAGTGGAGAAACTGTCCCTTAAGGCCAATAATCTTAGGCGGCGATCTTCACGGTCTGTTGTTCTACGCTGGCGTCCAGTGCCCCTTGCTCTTTGCGTACGACCTTCTCGAAGCCATGCCTGACAATACCTAACCACAGTGTCTACACTTCTTTGCACTCTAACTGCAATTGCCCGAAAAGAAAGTCCAGCTTCCCGAAGTCCCTCTATACGGCCCCTATCAAACTCACTAAGTTGACGAAATCGTACAGGTCTCCGTACTCTAGGCATCGTAACCGATCGTAAAGGATGTCAAGAATCAAAATCCGCCAACGTTGATTCTTTACTGCGGCTGAAATATTCATTTTTAGAGCGTTAGTGAATTAAAAAAAAGCAGTATAAAAACCGGAATGTCCAACTGATAAGGCTGAAAATTTTTTCACTTGTTATTTACAGTAAGATAAATACATTCACCAACTTTTATTAAAATAAAACCATTTAAACTGGGTGTTCGGATTTATATGTCACTTAGTATATAATAAATTTAACAAATTCTGTCAGATCTTATGTGTTTGATAAGTGCTTTCTTGAAATACCTAACTGAGTCGGCGTTTTTTATTGGCAACTTATTGTATTCACATAGACCTTTGTACATTATTGTTTTCATTGTACTCTTCATATTTGTTTTATTTACATGGAAATGAGTACACGTTCTAGTGTTATATGAATGGATCTCATTAATTGGGCGTAGATGTGAACCTAAATAATCAGGTAATGTTCCCTTCACAATTTTATAAATAAATAGCATTGTTGTTAAATAAATATGTTGATTCACCGATAACCACTGTAGAGTATCCAGCATATATTCAATTTTTGTGTACCTAGAGCACTGTTACATTATCCGCATTCCCCTATTTTGAAGTTTTTGTAAGGTGCCTATTTTGTTCTTCCTAAAGAAATACAGGGTGACTTTGAAGTTGAGTCATTAATTTTCAGATAATGATTGTAGAAGGAAGATAAACCAAAATATGTGTGTAAAAATAAAAAAAAAATTAAAAAAAAAATTTTACCTTGTTTTATAAAGTATTCTCCCGACAAGTATTTCAGTGCGGACCTGTATTTGATCGTGAGGTCTTGGAGCACCGGCATGCCGTCCATATGTGAGGTCTTAAGTCAAATGATTCACGAACGCGTTGTACTACATTAACAAAGGCACGAGGGGTTGGTTGCACTCGATTGGGAAACCGATCAGCATAAACATGTGCCATGTTTTATTTCGTTTGAGCCACGCAACAGACACCACTATCCACTACCGACTGACACTGACTGTATACAACTGAATGAAATAATTGTAAAAACATCGTTCCAAATTCTTTCGCTTTTTTGTTTCCGATGCGATGAACCGATAAGGCGAATTATATCCGTTGTCGCCAAACACGAGCACATAATATTATTATTGAGACAGGGCGGTACTCAAACTTCCAAAGGGCTATAACTTTGTTACTTTAATTTTACCAGAAAAATGGTAAAGGAAAAAAACATTTCTTTTGATCAGATATACTCACTGTTAAAATAAATGACTCAACTTCGATAAAGATGAACAGTACTGAAAATGAGGTTTTATTATTGTATTGTAAACCGTAATTCTTGCAAAGATTGATAGCTGTTTAGAAACTCTTGAAAAAAAATAAAGTTTCTTAATAATATAGTCACTATGGCTGTTAAAGTTTAGGTTTTTATCCAACATAAATCCAAGGTATTTCATTGTATCAACTAGATCAAGAACCGTTTTTTCAATTTTAACTTGGATATTAGCTTTTATTATATTCTTGTTTTTACGTCTGCTTGATATTATCATTGCTTTTGATTTTTGAGTGTTCAACTTCAATTTGTTCATTTTTAGATATGTATCAATATTTTCAAGGTCACCGTTCACAATATCGATAGCCTCATTCAGGTTTTTGCAGGCAGGAGTACACAAGTGAGTCATCGGCAAATGAAACAAGTTCCATATCATTCAAATATATTATAAAAAATAATAGCGCCAAAACACTAGCCTGAGGAACTCCAAAACGTACAGAAATGGTTTCGGAGATAGAAGAACCAATCTTAGCCCTTTGACCTCTGTCACTCAAGTAAGTAATTATCCATCTCAGGACAGTGCCTCCAATTCCACATTGCTTTAATTTATCCATTAATATTCGTCTATCTATTGTTTCAAATGCTCTTTTGAAATCAAGGAAGACTGCAATTACACAGTTATTGTCATCAATAAGTTTCATCCAATCAGTTACTGTAATTTGAAGAGCAGTTTCACAAGAGTGACCTTTTCTGAAGCCCGATTGCTTAGCCATGAGAAGATTATTGGTTTCAAAATATTCCACAATTTGTTTATGGGCACATGTTTCCAAAAGTTTTCAAGAGGTGGCAAAGTATTTATAGGTCTAAAATCATATGCTTCTATGGAATTTGGTACGAGTACTTTAGGGATGGGCGTAACTGTGCTTACTTTTAATGCATCCGGGAAAACTCCATAAGCTAGTGAAGTGTTAATAAAATTCACGATTACATGACCAATCGAGTGCAAAGTATTTTTAAGAAGTTCAGTATTCAAAATATCTATTTTCAAATGAAAGTATAATTTCTTTCAATTCATGGAATGATATGGATCTAAATTTCATTAACGTAGCTGTATCACAAGATAGATCATTATCCACGTAAATAATATCAGACTGTAAAATTAACAATAGTTTTCATTGGTGTTCAAACAACCTTTTTGTTGATGTTTTATTAAAAAATACTCACTTTGTTTAAAAATATCTCTAGGCGTTCTAGAGCAACTTTCTCTTCCTACGTCAATTAGGCCCGTATCGTCAGTCGTCCCTACAATTGTAGGGCGCCCTTACGGCCTCCATGATTGTCATACTCCTTTCTCTCCTTCAAAAATTTCTAGATTACACTTGTCCCGTGTCAGCGTCAGCGCTCTCCTATTGTGAAGATATGTTTTCTTTTTAAATTGTAGGAAATTTCATGCTGATAAAACATGATATAACTCAAAAGCAAGCACAATTTGATGCAAATAGATGTTTGTGACATAACCCCAAAATTGAGTTCTGACACGGAGAAGTAGAAAACTATGACAATCAAGGAGGCCATAAAGGCGCCCTACAATTGTAGGGATGACTGACGATACGGGCCTTAGTGAGGAAGTAAACATGATATGTATACTAAGTGACATATAAATCCGAACACCCAGTTTAAATGGTTTTATTTTAATAAAAGTTGGTGAATGTATTGATCTTACTGTAAACAACAAGTGAAAAAATTTTCAGCCTTATCAGTTGGACATTCCGGTTTTTATACTGCTTTTTTTTAATTCACTAACGCTCTAAAAATGAATATTTCAGCCGCAGTAAAGAATCAACGTTGGCGGATTTTGGTTCTTGACATCCTTTACGATCGGTTACGATGCCGAGAGTACGGAGACCTGTACGATTTCGTCAACTTCGTGAGATTGATAGGGGCCGTATAGTGGGACTTCGGGAAGCTGGACTTTCTTTTTGGGCAATTGCAGTTAGAGTGCAAAGAAGTGTAGACACTGTGGTTAGGTGTTGTCAGGCATGGCTTCGAGAAGGCCGTACGCAAAGAGCAAGGGGCACTGGACGCCGCCGTAGAACAACAGGCCGTGATGATCGCCGCCTAAGATTATTGGCCTTAAGGGACCGTTTCTCCACTACCAGGTCCATTGCAAATGAATGGTTTGCAGAACACGGAAGACCTATTGGCATGCGAAGTGTTTACCGACGAATGAGAAGTTTTGGCTTGTTTTCATACCAGCCACACTGGGTCCTCCCTTTAACTCGAGAACAGCGACGTAATCGCCTTGAGTGGTGCAGACAACGGTCACTCTGGGATCAGGAATGGAACAGTATTGTCTTTAGTGACGAGTCTCGATTTTGTTTAGGCATGCATGATGGTCGTGCCAGGGTTAGAAGGCGACGTGGTGAAAGGAGGAATCCACAGTTTTTTGTTGAAAGACATTTTCATCACACTGTTGGAGTTATGGTTTGGGGTGCTATAGCTTATGGTTCCAGGTCACCATTAATCTTCATCAGAGGTAACATGAACGCGCAGCGTTATATCCACGAAGTTCTAGAACCCCATCTTTTACCCTATCTTGACACCCTGGCAGATCCAACTTTCCAACAAGATAATGCCCGACCACATGTTGCAAGAGTCACAATAGACTTCTTTCAACATAATGATGTCCATTGTTACCAAGGCCACCAAGATCTCCCGACTTATCCCCAATTGAGCACGTGTGGGATATGATGGGTAGGAGATTGCTCAATTTGCAACGTCCTCTTCAGACTCTAGAAGCACTTCGAGAGGAGTTGGTGGTTGCCTGGAATGAGATACCACAGGAGGACATTGACCACCTGATCAGAAGCATGCCTAGGCGCGTTGGAGAATGCGTAGCACATCAGGGTGCATCCACACATTATTAAAGGTCAAAGGACTTTAAAGCAGTGTAATCATTTTGAAATTTTTATCATTTACTTATTATGCTTCATTAAGTACTTAAACTGGGTGTTCGGATTTATATGTCACTTAGTATAGCTCCGTCGGTACCTCGAGTTATACATCTTGACAGTAGGGATGTTCGATACGATCCTATATTTAGAAGTATCGACACTTTTGCTTCCCATACTCGATATTTTGGATCGATATTTTTATATACGACACTTAGGTGTATCGATACATTTCACGAGTATCGTCATCTTTCGATCCGGACTGTGTCAGAAAGAGTGACTAACTTCAGATTACTTTTCTTCTTTGTTTCCTTTCGCTGGATATCGATAATTTTATTCCATCATTTTAGAGTATCGATACTTCCTAAAACGATAAGAATCGATACATATCGATACTTTTCGTAGATCTAAACATTCCTAATCTTGACAGCTTGTCGTTCTTGTCAACTGGGCTGCAGGGTGCGGTGTTGCCTTTATTATCTTACACTTTGCTAAAATCTTATGACAAATAAAAGTTTCAAATGAAATATTGACGAATATGAATGGATATGCATAGAATTTAGAATATAAATTCATATTGCAAAGTTTAGATTGACTATGCATGGACTTGAACCGGATTTTTCGGTATTTTTATCGAAACGAGAATATTTACCGATTACATCATTCTCCACGATTTTTCAAAATAATTTAAATATTTCTATACTTGCCGAAAAAGAGCTAATACCAAAAATAAAGATAAAAGTTAATTTTATGTATTCTTCATAGTCTTATGCCCCATATCAATCATACATATGCATACACACTCAGGAGTCGGGCACACGAGAGGCGTAGATTTGGGTTGCCTATGATTACGAATGCACATCCTCATCCTTACTCCGCTTGCCCTGAATTAATTTTTGTGCATACATACATATAAAAGGTACAGATTGGTAGATTACCGTCATTACTCCATCACCGGACAAGCAATAAAGAAACAGAAACCTGCCTGTTTTCAAAATAAATATTCAATTAAAATGTGAGGTGAGTTCATGAGTTCAGGGGTAAAACAGAAAAATATTCATAATCCTATAAGCAAGAACCGAAAAAGGAGTTTCCAGAATGGTTGCAAAGTATTTTGAAGAGCTACCAGTATGCACATTGTAGGATATAGAACTATGCCCTCAAAAAACATGTTGTATGCGCGCCCAATACAATAACAGACGTTTTTCATGACTCAAAGGTCCCTGATCTACCACTGATCTTGAGACGGCACTTACCTTATACCGAATTCAACGACACTATTTACCGATTCCGTTTTTTGCTGGTTCGGCAACACTGCAGATGTGCACATCACTTTAAAAGCAAGTGATATCCCAGACGTGTTATCATAATAGAAATAATAAGAAAATATAACAATGTTTGGAGATATATTTTCATAAATAAGTATTTTTGATACTGACTTATAATATCTAGACGATGAATAATGTGGTGCAAACAGATATTTTTACAAATATCGATGGTTTAGGACCCAGAAATCCAGAATGTGCTGTTTGTTTACATTTGGTGTGGATTTCTAGATCATAAATTGGCAAAAATTGTTTTTGATGTAACACAAGATGGTGAACCAGTTGGAATACGGAAAATATCCAATTTTTTGCAAAATAACAAAAATTGGCACATTTCCACAGGTACGTATTATGTACAACAGTCGTTAAAAACAGTGAAAACATCCTACCAAATATAATAGCTAGAAGATCGACCTATTATTTCTCTCATTTTCATTGGTCCATTTAAATAACTGACCGTCTTTTGTGCAATGGTAAAAATTTGAAATTCTATGAAAGTTATCCTAATTCTAAAGCACAGAGACATAATATTACATATATAATGTACCCTTATTTATAAGGCAAACGTTTTTTCACGACTTTATTCAACATTTCAATAGAAATCACTGATATTCAGAGAGCTTTGACAGCTTCCTATTGGTCCAACTGACCGTCAAATATTAATGTTGGTGAAATTGGCCCTACACCACGCATTTTTTTAAATTCTGTTCCTTGAATCAAGACCCTTACTCGGAGGCAAACAGTACCTAATGGGAAGTTCAGACAAATATTTAGAGAATAGATATTACTTGAAACATAGTGTACTCATAAACACATCGACATACTTAGAACTTACACTTCACTGTTTCATAGTTTCTGGAACAAACCAATTTCTAACTTACATACATAAGTTTCAAACCCACTTTCGACTAAATTGTCTGAACGGAGGAAACTTGCCGCAAGCGTAGCAGTGCTTAAACTGTTCCATGTCCATAATTTTTGCCTGCAGGCTATGTATTACGTTTAGCGTATAAAACATTGTAGTATAGTGCAACAACATTTCGTAATTGCCGTAATTTGCAAGTATGCATATACTTTTCACTTCAATAACGAAGGTCAGTTACGAGTAAAGGGCGTCATGGTAT